GGGTGCCGCGTGCCGCAAGGGGCCAGGCGGGCGTCCCCCCCCACACACGCCATCGGCTCCCCCAGCGACCTGTGGGCGGCTCCTTGTCGCCATCCCCATTTCACAGATGAGAAAACTGAGGTTCTGAGAGGGGATCGCTGGACGCCAGGAATTCACAGCTGCGGTGGGCTTCGCGGTCTCTTTCAGTCACAGATGGTTATTGCTAAGGGGAAGGCCGCTTGGAGTTTGGGTCTGTTGGGGCAGGGGGGCGGCCACCAAATGCAGTGGCTAATGGGACTTGAGGCTAACCTGCTTCCCAGCGGACCTCTGTCGTCTCTCCACATAGACCCTTGTGAGCCAAGGAGGAGCTGAGGGAGAAAAAGCCCTCTTCTGCTGCCCTGAACTGGTTGTGGGGGATGTCAGGGATGAGCTGGAAACTCTTGGAAAACTGAGAGGGTCCACACAGACAAGTTCAGAGTGTGTGGACACTATTAAAACGAATGACCACTCAGAGTCCACTCAGCCACAGCCTGGGCTAAGTACTTTGCACCATGTTACTGGATCCTGGCACTGTAAGACCCTGGGACAGCTCCTTAGTCTCCATGTGCCTCAGTTTGTTCTATCTGTACAATGGGGAAATAGGCACTCCATCATGGGGTGTTTAAGATCAATGAGAGAGCTCCAGTTAAGACAGGGCCCCTGGCCCCTGGTCCATGAATGTCAACTATTATTACAAGTATCATTACAGATAAGGAAGCCAAGGCAGGAAGATGAAGGAGCTGACTCAGTCACACAGTGAGGGAGTAGGGACAAGGCCACTCAGCCCAGGTCACTCTGAGCCAATACTGGTCTCTTCGCCATGGTTCTAAAGTTGGGGTCTGAGCCCAACTGATGTGTTAGTCCTGCATCTCTAGAGCAAGAACAGTATATATTAGCTGTGTTCTGTGTGTGTCTGTCAGGGGAGGTCTTTGTGGGGAAAAGGTGGGTCCTGCTTGGGAACGGGTCCCTGCAGAAGAACAGGGTCCCCATCTCTTTCCCTCTAAGGGCAGAGGAGGGGTGGGGAAGGCATGGAGAGAGAGGTGGTGGTGCCCCCTGGTGCTGAGCCACAGGGCCTGTCCCAGAGGGACCATCTGCCCCCGAAGCTCAGACCAGTGGGTGCAAGCCTTTGCGATCTCTCCAAATCCCAGGCCTTTCTCGGGGTCCCTGGTCCCCCTAGGGTTTTTCTAGCTGGGAGACCATTCCGTAGAGCAGGCCTCTGCACTGACTGGGCCGACCATCAAGGTAGCCAGATTGGAGGGAGCGGCCCCACACTTCAGCCAGGCTGCTGAAAGGAACTGAGGAGTCGGTGGTGAGCTGGCTGCAAGGTCTCTGGGTCTGAAGCCAAGGACAAGAAGCAAGGACAAGAACTCATGTCAAACTGGATCCTACATCCCAGGCAAACTTTCCTAGGAGAATTCCAGACCAGAGCTTGGAAATCACTTTGCATGTATAAGCCACTAAGCCTCATAACCCATCCCTGTGAGGTCCCAGGCTCCATTTTTCAGATTAGTAAGCTCGGGTTCAAAGAGGACCACAGACATGTCCAGGGTTCTCTGGGCCCCCAAGTGTCTGACATGGGACCTTGGCTTTGTGCCAGAAGAAGAGTGTTGCTGAAAGCCAACCAGAACCTGACCCTGGGTAACAGTGTGGGTCCTCGGGCAGTGTGACATCTCTGCAGTTCACTTTGCACATGAAGGTGACGTATGTAAAATGGCATGTCCACTTGACTGTCCAGCATGTGGACAGCGAGCTAGAGGTGGCAGGACCGCTCAGCGGCTGCCGTGACCTCCCCGCACACTTCGTGCTTGCAATTTACTCTGCTAGTTGATGGAAAGTAGACGGAGCCCCTTACACATGTTGGCCACACTTGAAGGAGCCAATTCCTGCTTTGATCATTGTATCTTTTCTAAATATCAGTCTCTCCCCAAAGGACTGAGCAGACATTCAACCCAGCAGTAGACCTAAGTGCCCACCCTTGGCTTTGCTTTTTCTGGTGCTATGCTGGAGATTTGGGGCTGGAAAGTGCTTTTCATGTGCTTCTGTGATATATGACATTGTTCTGTTTTCAACTCTGTGCTCTCTCAGTACTTTTGAGTTTACCAAATAATATACCAGACTGTCTTGGTAAGACCTGTGCTGCATGTCACAGGAATGGGAAAATGTACCCACTCTCCAAGGGAGAAACAGTCAGTGACCCAGAGGAGACTTGTTATTTCAGTTTTCTCTGGACCACAGTAGCAATGGCCTTCACCCTGCCCACTCCCTCACAAGCTTAAGATGATTTGAAAATCCTCCACTGACATATTTGTCCATCCCCTGGTTCTACCAGGTCTGACTGTGTTCTGAATTAGAAGAATAATGCAAGCCAATTTTTTTTTTTTTTAATTACCTCTTTTAAAAATCCCTGTCTGGAGTTTCTGGATGAGGATTTCAGACTATTCTAAAGTTGATATGGGTCCTTGTGGACTCTGAACGACATGGAAGCCCTCCTCAACTAATCTGGATTCTATCAGTTACCACCAAAAGAATCTTAGAAATCCAAATTCCCTCGAAATAACTGCATTCTGCTATGACATGGCGGGCTGGAGAGGAGTGGAGGTCTTCTCTCTTCTTTCTCTACACAGTTGTCTGCTAAAACCTGGGTCTGAGATGAGAGTATGGCATGGTTCAGGGATCAGCTTGATGTCATGTACAGCAAATACAGCCCCAAACTAAAGCACCAAGGAAAAGTAAACACCCCCTTCTAAGATGTTGGGTAGATTTCTGGGTTGCTTTTTCAGTCTGGATTTATATGAGTAATTTTTGAGATCTCCTCCATACTGCTCACGAGCATTTCACCATCAAAAGCAGTCAGTTGCACACTCGAATTATCACAGAGAGGGAGTGAACAAAGAGTGGGTTTTGGATAAAAAGGGTTTTAGCTCTGACTGATGGGATTGGGGGAAGGTATGAAAGAAGAGATCATGGTTACGGAGGATGCATCATTCCAAGCAGAAGGAAAAGCCGTGAGCTAGTGATGGTGGAACCCTGCAGCATGTGTCCCCTGCACAGCTGGGGAAGTGGTGTGAGATGCCCTGGGAAGGAGTGTGAAGCTGTAAGCCTAACAGTAGATCGAGATAGAAATAGCTTCTCCAAACCAACCTCCCTGGTGACCCTGATAAATTGGGATCATTCCATGACTTCAGCAGTGACCGTGAGCTTTGTGCTAGGGAATCTGCAGACTGGCTGGATGCAGAGAGAAATGGCCCCAGATTCCAGAAGCCTCCGGAAGGAAAGGATTGGAATGAGGGCGGTATAAAGAACTAGATACATTGTCTATAGCACTGACCACAATGGAGGCCATGCCCACTTCCTCTTCCTAGTCATGCTGGAAACATTCACATGAAGGTAGCCCTTGAACTGAACTTGGAAGGACACGGGGAGGATCCTGAAAGAAGAGGGTGAGGGGTTTGTTCCAGGTGAGGGAGCAATGTGTGTCAAAGCACAGAAGCTAAAGGACACAGGACTTTCAAGTTTCATAGGTGGCTTCTAAGGGGCCTAGAAGACCAGTTGTGTCTGGGAAGTGAGATGTGGACTCAGGGGTTTGTACTTCAAATCAACAATGGTGTGTACCACTGGAGGAGGGGGGACGTCATGAAGGTCCCCTAGGAATCACAGAGCAAGGGACCACTAGGGGAAGAGTAGGTTTGGAGGAAGGGGCTATATGGAGCCTAGTATGTCTGATACCGTTGACAGGAGATCCATGAGAAATATTCAATTTTAGGATCTGTAACTCACAGTGAGAGGCGAGCCAGAGAAAGACAACTGATTCAGCCTCGAGCCTACATGGGACACCTTGGGAATAAATGCCACCACCCAGGGTCAGTTCTCTGAGATGAGGGGAGGGCTGAGTACTGAGCTCTTGGAAACCTAGTCCTATGCAGTGTGTGCACATCGTAAGTCATCGATCAATATTTCAGGGGGGCATCAGCGAATTAGTAAAGAGAAAAGAAGGTTTGTGAGTTTGCTTGGGCCACCTTAGCAAGATGCCACAGACTGGGTGGCTTAAACAGCAGACATTTATTCTCACAGTTCTGACGGCTGGAAGTCTGAGATCAAGGTGTGGACACGGTTGGTTTCTTCTGAGGCCTCTCTCCCTGGCTTGTAGATGGCTGTCTTCTCCCTGTGTCTTCCCATGGTCTCCCCTCTGTGTGTGTCTGGGTCCTGACCTCCTCTTCTTACCCGGACACCAGTTATATTGATTAGGATCCACTCGAATGACCTCATTTTAACTTAATTACCTCCTTAAAGACCCTATCTCCAAATACAATCACTCTCCGAGGTCCTGGGGTTTAGGACTTTGACATACAAATTTTGGGGAGACACAATTTGGCCCATAACAGTAAAGAAGGAGAGAAGGAAAGGGGAGACAGGGAAGGCAGGGTATTCTTTGAGAGAGCAGCCAAACAGAGAGCTGGTGAGGGAGGCTGGCAAACAGAAATGGGGGTGGGAAGCCAGCAGACCATGCTGTGCGCCCCCCCCTCCCCCGAGGTCCAGTCTCTGAGGTCGACTATCAGAGAGAGGCAACTAATCCCATAACAAAAGGCAACAAGAGAACCAAGAAAAGTCCCTAATCTTCTCATGCTAACTTGGAACTAAAACACAGTAGTTTGGGAAGAGATGCCTCTGTGGCACATCGCAGTGTTTCTAAACAACAGGCTTTCATGGGCCAGGGGGATCTGGAGCTGGGAGCATCTCTCATGCCAGAACCCTGCCGAGAGGTCTCTACCCAGCCCCACAGCCCTCTCTCACACGCCCCAGTGTTCACACCCATCCTGCTCTCCCTGCTCCGTTGGCACTATGCACCCGGGTGCTTCAGGCTGACCAATGAAGGA